AAAAAAAAAAAAAAGAAAGAAAAGGCTGTCAAATATCCCTGACATTGTCTACCGTGTTGATTTCTCAGCTGAACTGCATCATTATTGCTACTTTAAAGACCACTATAATTTTTCTCCTGTGCCTTTGCACTTGCTTCTATGTAAAAAAAGAAAAACAATCTAAAATTAATATTTTTTAAAAATAGGGATAGCAGGGCTGGGGAAGTGGCTCAAGCGGTAGCGCGCTCGCCTGGCATGCATGTGGCCCGGGTTCGATCCTCAGCACCACATACAATCAAAGATGTTGTGTCTGCCGATAACTAAAAAATAAATATTAAAAAATTTAAAAAAATAGGGATAGCAATGGGTGTAAGAGTTTACTAAATATTCCTGTATTTTGCAGAGGGGATTTTTTTTGGGGGGGGCAGGGCGTGGGTAACTGGGGATTGAACCAGCCTTTTTTTATTTTTTACTTCTTATTTTGAGACAGGGTCTTTCTAAGTTGCTGGGGCTGGCTTCGAACTTATGATCCTCCTACTTCTGTAACGCTGGGATTATAGGCATGGGCCACCATACGTGGCGCAAAGGGGATATTTTTGATACTTTTATGTGTGTATGTTCTAAATACATCAGGAACTTTAAATCGTCTCTAAATTCTAAAAAAGAATTGGTAATATTATTTTCCTTCAGGGAGTTTGTTGCTTTCTTTTTAAAGATCTTGCATATTTCTTCTAAGACTCAAGGTAATGTGTGCTCGCGCGCGCGCGCACACACACACACACATTTGCTTTGTTTCAAAATAAAAGTAACAATGCACACAGTTAAAAAAATAGTATAGAAGTGTTTCATTCTTCTGCATCCTTAGTTATATTCTCCAAAAATTTAACTACTTTTTAATCCTTTTATCTACTACCAGAAGTGGTAGTTTATTCCAAAACTCTAATTGTATTTGATATTTTAGTTGCTTTTGTGAATAGAATCTCATCCACCCATTTTATTCCCTAATGACTTAAAAGACTATTTTTTTTTTGTAAATTTAGTATCACTTTTCTGAAGTCCTTTAGGTTCAAATAACTTTTCTTTCCAAAAACTTTTATTTTTAAAAATATATTACACATAGGAATGGATATATGCATATGTTTGTAAATGCAAAAGTCGACATAGTGACATGTTTCCTTCTTCCCATTTCTTATGCCTGGAGATAGCCTCTATTAAACATTTTTAGTATGTCCCTTCTCCTTACACAAAGAAAAATTTATTAATTTTTTTTTAGTTGTAGATGGACACAATACCTTTTATTTATTTTTATGTGGCTGAAGATTGAACCCAGTGCTTCACATGTGCAAGCCAAATAAGCTTCCCTGAGCCACAACCCCAGCCCAGAGAGATTTATTTTTGCTCAGTTTCAGAGGTTTGTTCATAGTTGGCATTTTCAAGCAAATGCCATAATTTCATGTTTCTTTATGGCTGAGTAATATTCCATTGTGTATATGTACATTTCCTTTCTTTTTCAAAAAATATTAGTTGTAGATGGACACAATACCTTTATTTAGTTTTTTATGTGGTGCTGAGAATCAAATCCAGTGCCTCACACATGCTACTTAAGTGCTCTACCACTGAGCCACAACCCCAGCCCCATATATACATTTTCTTTATCCACGCATCTGTTGAAGGGCACTTGGATTGGTTCCCTAGCTGTGCTATTATGAATTGAGCTGCTATAACATTGATGTGGCTGTGTCACTATAGTATGCTGATTCTAAGTCCTTTGGGTGTATGCCATGGTGTGTAGGACAACTGGGTCAAATGGTGGTTCCACTGCAAGTTTTCTGAGAATCTCCATACTGCTTTCCAGAGTGGTTGCACCAATTTGCAATCCCACCAGCAATGTATAAGAGCATATTTTCATAATAGAGTCTGGTTGTGTTATCTTTTGTGCTCTAACAAGTTTTTGTTGTTGTTGTTTGTTTTTGGGGTGCCAGGGATTGAACACAGGTCCTCACAGCACTTGCTAGAAAAGCACCCTCCCACTGAGCTATACCCAGCCCTCTAAAAAGTTTTAACATCAGAATTATGACAAATGAATAATAATAAATAATTTAATATTTCAGCCTGTCATGGAAGAGTTCCTAAAATATTTCATAGATCTCACCTGTAAAAACATATCGTCTTGTGCCATTTTTAGCATAGCTATTTGACTTTTAAAAATTGGGGGGGGGCTGGGGATGTGGCTCAAGCAGTAACGCACTTGCTTGGCATGCGCAGGGTGCTGGGTTTCATCCTCAGCACCACATAAAAATAAAATAAAGATGTTGTGTCCACCGAAAACTAAAAAAATAAATATTAAAAATTCTCTCTCCCAGGCTGGGGATGTAGCTCAAGCGGTAGCGCGCTCGCCTGGCATGCGTGCGGCCCGGGTTCGATCCTCAGCACCACATACAAACAAAGATGTTGTGTCCACCAAAAAAAACTACAAAAATAAATATTAAAAAAAAATTCTCTCTGTCTTTAAAAATTTTTTAAAAATTATTTGCTCTAATTTAAAAAGTGTTCCTTTTAGAGGAAAGTCTATTCAAAGTCCACCTCTTCTCCAGTCAATTCTGATGTCAAGTCAATTTATTAAAATCACACTTTGTTCAGATTTTCCAGTATTTTACAAATACACTGAATTTTAAGTTTTTTATTTAACTGGATACAAAACATACATCATAATATTCACCCTTTTAAAGTGTATAGTGGTTTCCAGCATATTCACAAATTTGTGACATCTAGAACAGTAATTCCACATTTTCATCACTCAACAAGAAAAGGGTCCTTTTCAGTTTAAACATATCATCATTTCAGTTTTTCATTCTCAATACCATCTATTTGTCATCTTTATTTCATCACTAGAATCAGTAAAATTTGTCTCCCTTTCTCTTTTCCACAAAATAATTAAAATTTTTGCTTTTGATAATTTTTATTTCTTCTTTTTATAATTAATTATCACTTCCTCCTCTCAAAATACACTTTTGCCTATTTTAGGTTCTTGGATTCCATTGTAATTTTATTTGTTAATAAACTTTATAGCACTTTGATATACACATGTACATTAAGTTAAAAATCTTCGATACAGCTTTTATTGCCACAGGTTTTTCAACAGTGTTGTCAGTTTCATTTGCATCTGAATAACATATACAAAGTGATATATTTCCTTAACCCATGTTAATTAAGAGGAGATACTGAACTAACACTCAGATATTTGATGGTCATCTACTTTTACTATTTTCCCTATTCTGTGCAAAGAATGTGATCTGTATGCTTTCTACTTTTTTTGGAACCAATTAAGAAAAATATCAACTCTTCTTGCTATTGTGACAGTTGTGATTTTAAACTGCCCATCGCTATAACCAAGGCATTCTTCCTACAGCATGAAAGATGAAGTCTGAATAAAGACTACCCTCATAAATCTTTTTTCCCTTTGAAATTCCATACTGACCAAGGAGTAGTAGGGGAAAGGTGTTTCTTTCCCATCGTCACTATAATTATTTTTCTTCTTCCTTTATGAATTCTTTGACAAAGTTAAACAATAGGGTTAAAGTCCTTCCCACAAATCATAATGAAGATAATTATGAGAACGAGTAGATCAATGATAATAGAGAAAAACATTTATTAAACATATACTAGTTGGTAGGAATAGATCTAAGTACCTTGTACCAATTCACTGAGTCCTCATGGCCAAACCAATACATACACAATTGTATATATTTATACATAAGAAATAAAATACAACTAACATGTATAAGAAAAAATATGTTAAGTAACTGGAAGAATAAACACTTTTGTAAATAGTGATTACTTTTCCAATATGGCATTAGGATTTGGATTAATGAAAAGGAACAAAACAGTTTTTAAAGAGAAAACATGACTAATTTCAGCAATTAAAATAAATGTTTTAAAAGAAAAACCAGGCATCTAAAGATAAAAACTTACACACTATAAAAATTTAGAGACAATCCTAACTTGAATAATAGTCATTTAAAAAAGTTATATGTCATTAAAAATAATAAAAACCTACATTTACTAAAATGGCTATTATGTTTTTGGCATAATAAAAGCAAGTGACGTAATGGCATACATGCCATGACTTCACTTCCTTAAAATATGATGTCTAGCAGAATTTGCTCTACCAAATTGAGAGCAGTCATCTATAGCATAACTATAATTCATTTTGGCTTGTTTAGCTTCTGCCTTTTTATGTTTTTGAATTGTTTTACAATAAAAATATAAACTTGTGAAATGAAACAAAAAAATTAATACTGACTTCAAAAACAAAGTTATAGCTGGGTACAGTGGCGCACATTTGTAATCCCAGCAGCTCGGGAGGCTGAGGCAGGAGGATTGTGAGTTCAAAACCAGCCTTGGCAAAAACAAGGCGATAAGCAACTCATTGAGACCCTTTCTCTAAATAAAATACAGAGTCGGGGATGTGCTCAGTGGTTGAGAGCCCCTGAGTTTAATCCCTAGCACTGACCCCCGCCCCAAATTTATAATTCCACAAGGAATTTCAAATTATGAAAGGTCACACAATTTAAACAGTGTGATACTAATGCAAAAACAAGGCTGGGGCTGTAGCTCAGTGGCAGAGAGCTTGCCTAGCATGTGTGAGTTACTCACTGGGTTTGATCCTCAGCACCATATAAAAATAAACAAAGGCATTCTCTCCATACAAAACTACAAAATTTTTTTTTTAAAATAACAAATATCAGAAAAGGGAAGAACTCTAAAATACAAGCAAATACATACAAGAATATAATATAGCACCAAACAATGGGGGAAAGAAAGAATTAATGAACAAGTGGCATTGATTGCTACAATATGGAGGGGATGTCAATTTAGACTCTAAATTCATATCCTAGAGTGAAATGCATTTGGATTGAAAACTTGTATACAAATAAAACATAGATACAGGGTAACTACCAAATATGAATTTTTGTCTAAAACATTAAGATGATAAGAGTCATAATTTTTATTATTAGTTAGTATGAATTCCCTGATGACGAATGAGATCTGAGCCACTACTAAAGGCCTTCCCACATTCCTTACAATTATAGGGCTTCTCACCACTGTGAATTCTCAAATGGCGAGTAAGATTTGAGCATTTATTGAAAGCCTTTCCACATTCACTACATTCATATGGTTTTTCATCTGTATGGATTCTCTGATGCTGGAAAAGTTGTGAGTTCTGAGTAAAAGCCTTCCCACATTCAAGACACTCAAAGGGCTTCTCACCAGCATGAATTCTCTGATGTTGGCGAAGTTGTGAGCTCTGAGTAAAAGCCTTCCCACATTCCTTGCAATTGTAGGGTTTCTCACCAGTGTGGATTCTCTGATGGTTAGTAAGTGCTGAGCCACTGCTAAAGGCTTTGCTACATTCCTTACACTCATAGGGTTTCTCACCAGTGTGGATTCTCTGATGCTGAACAAGTTTTGAGCTCTGAGTAAAGGCTTTGCCACATTGCTTACATTCATAGGGTTTCTCGCCTGTATGAATCCGAACATGTTGAAACAGCTGAGAGCTCTTAGTAAAGGCTTTCCCACATACTTTACATTTGTAGGGTTTTTCACCAGTGTGAATTCGCTGGTGATCAATAAGATTTGAGCAGTAACTAAAGGCTTTCCCACACTCCTTACATTCATAGGGTTTCTTACCAGTATGAATTCTCTGATGTTGAGAAAGGTATGAGCTACAACTGAAAGCCTTTCCACAGTCTTTACATTCAAAGGGTTTTTCACCAGTATGAATTTTCAGATGCCGAGTAACATGTGAGCCACAACTAAAGAATTTCCCACACTCCTTACATTCATAAGATTTTTCACCAATATGAATTCTCTGATGTTGAATAAATTGTGAGTTCTGACTAAAGGTCTTTCCACATTTTTTACATTCATAGGGTTTTTCTTCATTATTCATTATTTGATGTAGAGTAATGAAAGACTGTTGAATAAATGTGGGTACATATTCATTAGAGAATACTTCTTGACTTAAATGCCCATTTTGTCTGGCAAAATGACTTCTATATTCTAAAACATTTCTAAAGCTGGAGTATTCAAGGCCAGGCTTTGTAAGTCCCATTATCTCCCTCTGGCATGACTCTATTTCATAAACTTCTTTCTTTAGAGATAATAACTTGCTTTCACACATTGATTCCAGGTCTGAAAGAAAAAAAAAAGGGCTAAATATTCTTTTCCCCTCTTATTTGTGAAAAGTTAAATTTTATGATACAAATGGAAAAAATTAAAGTAAAAATTGTCTTGGGCTGAGGATGTATGTAGCTCAGTAGTAGAGTGCTTGCCCAGCACATGTGAAGCACTGGGTTCAAACCTCAGTACAACATATAAATAAATTAAATAAAGGTATTGTGTCCATCTACAACTAAAAATATTTTATTTTTTTAAAATATTTTTTTAGTTGTAAATGAACATAATACCTTTTTTAAAGTTTTTAATATGGTGCTGAGGATCAAACCCACACATGGCTCACACATGCCTCACACATGGTAGGCAAGCACTCTACCACTGAGCTATGATCCCAGGTTGACAACTAAAAATATTTTTAAAAATACTATCTAGTGGGTAAATGACATAAAATTCTCAGTTACTGTTTAATCTAAAAAAATAAGCAAGAATGAACAGAAATTAATAAGATATAATTCAGGAAGCAGAGTGAGGAGAGTATGGAAATAAGTTACCACAATGATTCTCAAAAACAGATGTGGGTCAATATCATCTGGAAAGGTTAGTAAAAATACAATGCTTGAGCTATATACTAAAACATGACTAGTCATATACACATGTACACATCTATATAACTATGTGAGAAAGAGTACATTGTCATACTATCTAACAAAACATGGATACTTTTTTGGCCTCCATTGAAGGTCTTCTAAGAGAACGAAATACACATGCAGAAGATTCTTTGGTATTCCATGGCATAATAAAAAGGAAGTTTTGGGGATGGGGTTGTGGTTCAGTTGCAGAGCACTTGCCTAGCACATGTGAGGCACTGGGTTCAATCCTCAGCATCACATAAAAATAAAGAAAATAAAGGAATGAATCTATCTGCAACTAAAAAAATTAAAAAGCAAAAAAAGAAAATTTAGCCTTTTCCCTATTTTTTGACACAGAGCTTTAAAATTCCTTGGAACTTCATGAACGATAGCACTGTTTTGTTATGCCAATGAGGTGAAACAGGGTAGTTCTTAGCTTCTAGGGACTGATCACCAGAAAGATCAAGAATGTGATTAGAGCTGCAGCTTTTCGACTGCCTGATCTCTATAAAGGGGAGAAAGAGTAAAGACTGAGCTACCAATTGTTTAATCAAGCATGCCTAGTAAAAAAAGAACTCCGGACACGATATTTCAGTGGAAATTCCAGCTGGTGAATGCACTGATGTGCTGGCAGTGTGATACACTTGATTCCATGAGAAGAGGGTATGGAACTTCTATCCAGTAGCCTTCAAGATTTTGCCCTAGTATGTTTTCTTTATACTAAAACTCTAATCTTAAATATAGAACTTAATATTGAGTTCTATAAATCCTTCTATCAAATTATTGAAGCTAAGGTGGCCTTGGAAACCTCTGAATTTAGAGCCAGTTGGTCAAATTGCATGCCATCTGAGAAATCCCAACACTTGAGTCTGGCTACTAAAGTAAGAGCAGTATTATGGAGGACTATGGGTTTGCACTAATATTGTCAAAATTGAATTGCAGCACACTCAGTTGGGGTAGAAACAGAATAAACTCTGTAATATAGAATGTAGTAGATAAATTTGAAAGCAGTAATGAAGGGTTATCCATATGGAGGATGAGCCAGAGACAGAGTCTAAGGTATTGAACTAATTTAATTAGCAGATAGAGAAACTCAGAATAGTTTGTGTGCTGAGGATTCAATGAAAATACTATTTGCCCTGGATTTTGTGATGGTGATCTTAGGATAAGAGAGGTCTGAGACTGCTCATGTACCATCCCAGGGACTGAGTTTAAGGGAGACAGAAAGGAATTAAGACACAGTATAGCTGGGCACAGTGACACATACTTTTAATCCCAGCAACCCAGGAGGCTGAGAAGGGAGGATCACAAGTTTGAGGACAACCTACGCAATTTAGCAAGGTCCTGTTTCAAATTTTTAAAAAGTGCTGGGGATGGTAGCTCCATTTTAGATAGCCCCTGGGTTCTGTCCCAAGTAGTACATGAAAAAAAAAATTTTTTTTAAAGACAGTATAACGCTACCATAGAAAGATGTCAGGAACAGACTAATGAAAGTTTAGTGCTAATTCTAATAGTTACTTACTGAAAATATGGTTTAGATATGAGGTATCCCCCCAAAATTCAGTGTAAGACAATGCAAGAATGTTGAGGTGAAATGATTGGATTATGAGATACATAACCTCATCACTGAATAATCTATTGATATGGATTAATTAGATGGTAACTGTAGGCAGTAGGGTGTGGCTGGAGGAAGTAAGTCACTGTAGTTGCAATCTGCTGTTTATTTTGTTCCTGGTGATCACAGCTCTATCTCCAGGCTTGCTGGCTGCCATGTCCTAAGCTATTTTTCTTTGCCATGCTTTTATGCCTCACTTGGGGCCTAGAGCTACGGAGATGGCTGACCATGGACTGAACTTCTGAAACTGTGGGCCAAAATAAACTCCTCCATCTAAATTGTTCTCGCCAGGGTATTTTGGTCATAGTGACACAAAAGCTAACAAAAACACTAAGTGTTCCCAGGCAATTATTAAACCTCTGAAAATCCTCATTTCTTCATCTGAAAAAGGGAAATAATCCTTAATTTATGATTACTTGGAGAATAAGAGAAAAATGATTATAAATGTCTTGGAGGTAAGTACTCAGTATCTGATAGCTATTATTACAAGAGACTTTTTTTACTAAAAATGAGGATATTAGGCAAATTAAATGGCTCAAAAACATCCAAACAAAATGTATCTCAAGTCAGCAGCAGAAAATTTGGATCTTTAGAAAAGAGATTTTCCCTCCCATTGGAGCCTTCACAGAGGTTCTTCCCTTTGTCTAAAGTTTTCTTCCTTATGAACATATACAATAACAAGACATAGCAGTAAGCCTAGTATTACACTAATTCTAAAATATAGATAAGCATAAATAATTCAACATGTTTACAATAATTATTACGATGATACAAAAAAATCTGTGATTTGCATTCATTTTGAAGTCACAGGAAAGACTAATAAAAATGTCATAGGAACTACAGTTAGTTGCATACATCACAACAGGAAAAATGCTGTAGAGGTTACTAAATATAGATATTCATGTTTTTTCTTATCCAAGTTCATAGATTTCCAAATTCTATCAAAAGAATCCAAAATTAGGAGTTTCTGAGCAAGAATAATCCTTTATAAATACAATCAAGATGGGTGCAATGGCACACACCTGTAGTCCCAACTACTCTGGAGGCTAAGACAAGACAACTGAAAGTTCAAGGCTATCCTCAACAACTCAGCAAGATCCTATCTCAAAATAAATAATAAAAAAGGTCTGGGACGTAGCTCAGTAATAAAGTACCTTTGTGTTCAATCTCCAAGACAAAAAAAACCCACCACAATCATGTCACTCTGCTCAAATCATACAATGGATGCACATTTCAGAATAAAATTCAACCCTATCAAGACCCATAAGACACTAACTCACCTGCAAATACCCCCCATCCTCCACCTCTGCAACCAGCAGAGAGGTGCACATATACCTTGGTACTTTCCCATATCCACTTATATAATTCCCTTTTTAATCACTGGCAACAGCCACAGTGGTAGAAGCCAAAAAGCTTTATTCTCAGTCACTTTATTCTTCTTTTCCCTAAATCTCTTCTACCAGATATTTGCTTGTTCCCACACCTCTTTTAGACCTCTATTAAATATTACTTCATCATAGAAGCCTTCTCCAACCTCCCTTCATGGCATTTATCACCATCTGATTATATATATATAAAATATATAAATATAATGTATTAATATATAATGTATAAACATTTATATAAGTATACAGTAAAGGAGCAAAAACTTTTTTTTTGTTCTTTTAGTACCAGGGATTGAACCCACGGGT